GGTGGTCAGTGTGCAGTGGATGGTCAGTGTGGGTGGTCAGTGTGGGTGGTCAGTGTGCAGTGGATGGTCAGTGTGGATGGTCAGTGTGGGTGGTCAGTGTGGATGGTCAGTGTGGGTGGTCAGTGTGGGTGGTCAGTGTGGGTGGTCAGTGTGGATGGTCAGTGTGGGTGGTCAGTGTGCAGTGGATGGTCAGTGTGGGTGGTCAGTGTGGGTGGTCAGTGTACAGGGGGTGTTTCTCTCTGCCCACATTGGCTCGTTGTTGATGACTGACACATCTCTCAATCACTCTGACCATGTGTTCTCATTAGATGTATTCTTTCAGGTTTTGTTACCTGACTGCTGAGAATTAATTTGCAAAGTTTCTTTCCAACCTTTGAATGCCTTCTGCAGCGTCTCTGCCTGGCCTGGGCAGATATATTCATTTGAATTATGAATTCTTAGTACCAGCCCATGTTTGGCTGCATCTATTCCTCTTTTTCATCCCTTCCATCACAAAAGGACAGGATATAAATGCACTCAATTATCACTGGACTGGAAATATTCCCTAAGTTGGCTGTTAGCAGGCAGTGATACCCACAAATAATGATCACTGGTGTCATGTCAACACAAGCAAAACCAATTATTTTTGAGCCATCTAACACCACAAAAGCAGATGTGGGAAGAAACTACCAATTAGAGATGAAAACACTTAAGGTCAGATGTGCAGACTATGATTAAACTGATACTTAATGCACGATTTTTCTTTTGATATTTTTTTGAGCTCTTTCCCTGTTTTATGAAATCTCTGTGGTGTTGGCACCACTTTGGTTGCAGGTTTCAGTCCACTCCTACCTGATTGTTTGACTTGTGTTTGTAGAGTGAGTTGGTTGTCTGGACCCTGGGGATGATCTGATCTCCTGAAATGTTGAGTGCATCAGGCCAGCAGTGGTGCAGCAGCACTCAAGTGTAATTGCATTTTGTCTACTATTCCTCACACAGTCCTTGTTTGTGAGAAAACAACCCCAGAACAATTCCTTTGCCTGGGCATCTCCTCTCATCTCTCCCCATCCCAAACTCCATCTCATCCACACGATGTGAGCATGGCCCTAAATCATTTCAGGTGAGGAGACCGAATTTCTGAATAAAAATATTGCTCCCCACCATGTCAGTCAGATTTAGGGCAACAAAACTGGAGGCAGCAAAGTGTTTGTGGCTTCCCCAAAGAATTCTCTTGACTCCCACCCCTGGGTCCCTCTCTGAGTGCTGACCCATCCCTCCAGCAGGTTCCAATCCTGATCATAGTGACAGCAGCCACCACTCTGTCCCAGCATAAAGCTTTTCCTTTCCACAGTGTGCATCCTCCTCTCCAGTCCCAGCTGGGCTGTCCTTCCTAGCGCACCTGAAGCCTCACAAGAGGCACCTGAGCTCTCCACCAGAAAAGCCAGAAGAGGTTTCTGTGCTGCCATGAGGGAGCTCCTGCCTGACACAGGCACATCCACAGCCTCAGGGACAGGGGCAGAACCAGTGCAGGGATGGTGGAACAGGGCAGCCATGGAATCACCATCCCTGGAAGTGTTCAAAACCCCTGTGGCACCTGGGTAAATGGTGAGCCTGGTGGTGGGCTGGAGTGATGGCTGGATTTGGTGATTTTAAAGCTTTTTTTTTTTCCCCCAACATTAACTATTCTGTGTTTCTCTCTGTGACTTCCAGCTCTGCTCCACTCTGTGATTCTCTCAACTCCCCAAACACCCTGAAGCAGTAAATTGGCAGTTTAGTTGTGTGTCATATGAAAATGCAGTTCCACTTTCCTTGCAGCCTGTTCTGTTCACCCTTCACTCCCTCCCTCCACCCCAGCCTCTGCCCTCTGCAAATGGATGAGTCCCTGTTGATAGAGTGTGTCCTTTAGTGGGACTTAAATCCTTTTGGATTTAAGAGGAGTGGGAGCTGGGTGCTGTTTACAAGATGAAGCCCCACCATGGATTTATGGAGTGGCAAAATAACGTTTGCAGCTTTATTCTCTGTTCCTTTGCTGGCGTTTGATTGCTCTTGCATTGTTAAGCATTGAACTGTTATTTGCAGGAAATAACTGTGAGGATTTTGAGATCTCTTCCTTGAGTGATAATAGTTAATTTTGAACCCATCAGTGTGTGTATCTGTAGCTGGGGTTGTTTTCCTCAGTGCATTACTTTGCATCTATCACCACTGAATTCCTTCTGCAGTGTCACTGCCAGTCACTTAGAATGATGGCATCCTCCTGCAGTTCTTCACTACCAGGCTTTATTTTCAGGACTTGAAATGGCTTTGTCTTATGAGTAATTTTGTCAGCTCACCAATCATTTGCTCTTTCAGATGGTTTTTGGTGTGGTAAGGAGTTAAAACTCCATCAGTAGTCTCCTCATCCCTGTTAGCTGTGTTTTAACTGCTTGGTAGCCTATGAGACCTTTCCTTTTACCTGCAGCAATACTGGTTTGGGGAAGATAAGGAGCTGGTATTCATGGAAATGCACTCCTGGGGATACAGGGACCCCACAGAGACAATTCCTGCTCCATGCAGGGCCATGCCTGATGCTGCTGTGAGGGGTGCCTGGGGAAATGCCCTCTCCAGCCCCCAGAAAGTTGTTCATGGGGATGAGCTGCTGTGTTTAACCCCAGATGGAAACTGAGCCCCACCTGCAGCCCCCTTACTGCCCAGGGGTGGGATGGGGCAGAATGTGGGGTCCAAAGTGAGAAAACTCACGGGTTGAGATGCAGACAATTTAACAGGGAAAGCCAAAGCCACTCAGGCAAGGCAGCGGAGTAAGGAATTCATTGCTCACTTCCCTGCCCAGCCAGCCAGGCTCTGTCACAGCCCGTGGGGACTGGGGAAGGCAAACACTCTCCCTCCCACATTCCTGCCTGCTCCTGCTCCGTGCTGAGCAGGATTCCATAGCTGGCACATTCCTGGGACAGCTCCTTGTCCCCCCAGCCTGGGCCTTGGCCATGCCCACCCTGACCCCTCCAGTGACCAGCACTGCTCAAACCCAGCCTGGGGCAGCTCCTGGGGACAACAGCAGCAGCTTCATCCCAAACCCACCCACAGCCAGCTCAGACTGGGATATCCTCAGCTGAGCTCTCTGAAATGGGTTGGAACTTTGAGATTGATGTTTTTTCCTGACTGATGCTGTTGGGGGGTGACTCCCGTCCTGCTGGAGCCCCTGCCAGGCTGGTGCTGCCTCCTGAGCTGTGCTGCACACCTTCCACATGTGGGGCCCTTTTGGGGTGAGTTCATCTGTTCCCAGAGACCTCGTGGTATTTATTTGTCATTTATTACCTCATTGACTCCTCTGAACAGCTCTTCATCTGCTACTGCAGTTTAAGAGTCTTGCGACAATTAGGAGATTGAAGCATCTGTTACATGAGGAGAGGCTGGGGTTATTTAACCTCCAAAAGCTGGAGTTTGGCTCAGAGAGGTTTATTGGTGTGTTTAAATCTCTCCTGGCAGGGGAAGTGCAAAAGAGGGAGTCAAAATCTTCATAGTGGTGCTGAGTGAAAGAGCAAGAAGCAAAGGGTTAAAAATGAGATACAGATTTCCCTTAAACATTCATTTCATTTCACTATCTTATACTATGTTTTCATTCATTTATTTTTACTGTGCATGCTGTTGAACACTGGCACACATTGCTCAGACAGGTTGTGGAGACCTCAGCCTTGCAGATATCCAAAAACCCAACTGGAGCCAGTTTAAAACCTGCTCCAGCTGACCCTGCTGGGAGCAGGAGGGTGGGATGGATGATCTCCAGGGACATCTCCAGCTCAGGGTTTCAAAGATTCCACCAGGCTGTAACAGTGAGAGCCTGCCCAGGCTCTGTGGGGAATATTCCTACAAATATGGGCTGGGCTGGCTTTCCATGGGCACTCTCTGCAGTCCTTGATCATGTTACAGCTTTATAGACTCTCTGGTAGGTTCCTGGTTTCTGGAAAAGGCTTTATTATTAGCTTTTATGGTTTTCAAAAATTGCTTCTTGTAGTACTTTCTGAGTTTACCATGACTGAATTTTGTGCTCTTTTCTGTTTTTCTCATTTGGACAAAACTTCCACTTTCTGAAGAATGTGATTTTACTGCTAATAATGTCCATTACTCTGCTATTTAAGCATGAGAGCTGCTTTCTGGCCCCATTTATAGCTGATATATATTTATTCTCAGCCTCTAATATGGTTCCTTTATGTAATTTCTTTGCCATCTCCAAGCAGTTTATCTTTCTGGCGGCTGCTTTTAATTTAGGTTTAGCAAGTTCCTTGTCCTTTCTTGGGGTGGGATAAATCACCATCCCAAGTGCCTGTGAACACAGCCAGTTTGGATTGCACACCTGCCTTTAAAACAGGGGTAGTTTAGCCCACAAATCCCATTCCTAATATAACAAAAAAATGTTTTCCTGCCTGGAAACTATAATGCTGTATAGGGCTCTAGAGGAAAAACTGAGGCTTGACTTCATTCATTTCACCATCTCCCCATGATTCTGCTTAATCTTCTGAGAGATGTGTCCAATTTGTTGCATGAATAAATAAATCCTTTTATGTTAAAGGACTTTGTGAAATCACCTGCTTGACTTGTTTGCCCAGGAACTGCTATAGTGGGTCCTCACTGTAATTCTGATAAAAATGAATAAATGTTTTTATTTGGACTCGATAGGGCTGGAGAGAGGAATAACAACTCTGCTCCCAAAGAATAACAACTCTGCTCCCCAGAAATAACAGTTTTTCTCTCCAGGAATAACCTCAGCTGGTATTGCTGAAAGGAGGAGAATTCCAGCATTGAGAGCCCAACCAGCCCAGCTGTGACTTGCTGCTCTGCTGCTGATTTATACAGATCATTCTGAATTTTCAAATGTTCTTGATGCACGTGGATCTTTGGGGCTGGGAGCTGCACACAGGCACTCCTGGGACAAGTCCCAAATTCCAGAAGGCATCCATCAGTGGGATGGATTTGTGCCTGCTCAGCATAGGGGGTGTAATGACCAAGCCTTGTCCCTTTGTCCCTGCCAGAACATCCACCTGGTGGCCAAGTGGCTGAGCTGTCTGGAGAAGAAGCTGGAGCAGCTCAGCGAGGGCAGCCACCAGGATTTCCGCGTGTTCGTCAGCGCGGAGCCGGCGCCGTGCCCCGAGAGCCACATCATCCCCCAGGGCATCCTGGAAAACTCCATCAAAATCACCAGCGAGGCCCCCACAGGCATGCACGCCAACCTGCACAAGGCCCTGGACAACTTCAGCCAGGTAGGAGCTGCCTGGGCACGGGCAGGGGCTGCTGGAGCCCCTGTGGCACACGATGGACATTTCCTCCCCTTGCACCACGGAGCCTCTGGGCCCAGCACCCCTCTGCTCTTCCCCACACATCTCTTCCCAAGCACTGGTTTTCCCAGAAAGGGTTCAGGTGATGCTGAGAAGCCTCTTTCCTGCAGCAGGGCACCAGACTTCTGTCCAGTTTAACCATTTTCTCCTGTGTGTGATCCCAGAATC